GGCAGGGGAATCGTCGGGGGCTCTGCGCTCATCGCGCGGAACCTCCCCCCCCCCCCCCAAGGTCCGCGTCTTGTTTACCCGCAGAGTGAAGGGCACGACAATCTCTGTATTGCAAAAACAAAAAGAACAAAAAAATAACTCGTGGCACACAGCGGGGTACATCTCACTGCCCCTTCTCCTAGTGCAGGGGTCGGCGGCTCCGGAGCCGCATGCGGCTCATTAAGGACTGCCTCGTGGCGTTATTTAGGAAGGACTCACGGTCTCATGCTAACCACAGAGTGCATTGCGGCTTTTGAAATATTGAGACTCTTATTTTTTTACCGACTTCGAAAAAATGTATCTTCTTGTTGTTTTGTTTGCCGACTCCTGCCCAAGTGGGAAACTGGGATGGCCACTTTCAATTAGATCACGGTGAGAGGTCACGTGACTTCCAATTAACACACGACCTTCAACAGATGCCGTTTTCATTGGCTAGACACGCAATTCCAAACTAAGACGATGCACACCAATCGCCGCATTTGTTTGTAGCAAACACCACGTTTGCCAATGACGAATTCCCTAAACAATGTCTCACATCGCAAGGCAACCAGACGTTTTACCGGGGCTCACCCCCAGCTGTCATGCCAAATGCATGCGTGCGTCCGTGCACTCGATCTGCACACAGTCTGCAACCTACTTCCTCTCCTTCCGAGATGTCTGAGAAGTAGTTTTGCAAGAAAGTTGAGGTCGCCTCAAATGTAATTCCCTCCTCTTAACGCCCGGAGAGAAAGCCATTGAAATACACTCGCAAGCTGCTATCGCACGTACGGTGATTTTTTTTATATATATACTGTATACAAATGAATTGGGTTTGTTGTTATTGTTGGTGTTCTTTCAACTGTAGCGCCAAAAATCGCCTTTTGTGAACAACGCTCATCGCAAGACCCTCCAATAGCTCACGATGCATGTGGCGGGGGGCGGGGGGGGGGGGCGGCACGGGAGCGAGAGGTCACGAATCACTTTCACAACAAAGAGCCCGGATGACCCCGAGCGGTGACCTCGAATTGCTCGCGAGGACACGGACCCCCAGTGAAACTCACCAACGTGTGACCTCAACGTGAGGTCAGTCGCAAGTGGGACGAAGTTGCCGTTGCCCGGATGCCACGCGTGGCTCTATTTAGCGGTAAGCACGGCACTACTACTACAGTATGCCCACTCGGGCTCCGAGGCTGTACAATGCAATCCAAATGCATACAACGCGGATCGAATGCAGGGCTGTCTCGACGATTGTACGCGCTAAACCGGTGCTCAGGCAGAAATTGCTCCGGCAGTCGCCATCAAACCTGACCAAGGGGGATCTCTGATGTTCTTTGTTCATGTTTTTGTTGCGGTTGCATCCGAGTCAAGAGCCGCATGGCTCACAGGGCTATTCCTAAAAAAGTGAAACTGAAACTCAATGTGCCTGCCAATACGCAGCAGTGGCAGCGCTCACGTCTGCACGCAGCGTTCTCCATGAAGGGCCCCCACCCATCGTGAGGTGGACAGCTGAGGACATGCACCTGGCCCTCTACTCCATTCGCATGACATCAACTGATCCAGTCAATCGGTGCTGATGTTCGTGTGCTCACAGACAATCAGAGACAAGCGCGTTGGTCAGGTCGGTACTTCACACACAGGGTGAGGCCAAATCTGGGATCGAGAGCTCTGGATGGGCATGCTTACGATGTATTTTATTTATGTATTTCTCTTATATAGGGTTGCCACCTGTCCCGGTTTTTCCAGGGTCGTCGTCTTGTTGAGCTCGCTGTTCTGGGCAATCAGTGAGGCTTCCCAGAACGTTAAGAGTCCAGGTTGTTGTCCGTTGCATCATCAGGCACCATAGGGCACCACTCAACATAATGCATGAACATTTAATTCTCCCGTTTTTTTATTGTCAGATATTCCTCTTTTCATGATTTGTTTGCCCAGGAGAGTCTATTGTCATGAGGGTCCTGATAAGGTTGTCTCAGTAGCGGGCGACGATTGCTATTTGTTTCCCAATTAAGTAATTGTTTTAAACTTGGCCAATTTGTATCATGACGCCAACAACGCATGACCTCTACACTTTTCGAACAATCCAAACGGAAAAGCTGAATATCCACTACGAGCGGACGGTGGAGCATACTTAATGATTATTACGCCCGCAGTATTTTCCATGGCGCCCGATAAGTCGGAACAGCGGAGCCACGTGCATGGATTTATGTTCATTATACCGGTGGGTGTGCCGTCGCAAACAGTAAATCGGCGCCAAGATGGTGACATGTTAACTGCCTCGCCTGGTATACAGGAGGTGTGGGTTCGATGCCGACTGTGACGCCTGTATGTATATATGGAGTTTGCATGTTCTCCCAATGATCGCGTGGATTTTTCTCCAGACCCTCAGGTTTTCCCTTCCACATTTAGAAACAATAGTTGTTTAGCGTGTTTGGCTGCTTTAGATTTCCACACGACGATAAGCCACTGCTCGTTGAGCAATCATTTGTGGCCAGGTCGCTTCTGGAAAAGAGTTATATAGCTCAGTCGGCCTTACCTGGTAAACTAAACATACAAATAAATAAATAAGTTGCGTACATTTTTTCGGCTGTGTTGTATGGAGGAAGGAGTACGACACACATTAGCATTGTGCCCACGTGATCTAACCCAGCAACCAAGAATGAGTGTGTCACTGCCGCTGGGTTTTTATTGTATACCCTTAGAAGTGGCAGCCCTGTCTAACACCTGTCTAACACCTGTCTACCACCTGTCTACCACCTGTCTACCACCTGTTTAACATCTGTCTAACATATGTCTAACACCTGTCTAACATCTGTCTAACATATGTCTAACACCTGTCTACCACCTGTCTAACACCTGTCTACCACCTGTCTACCACCTGTCTACCACCTGTCTAACATCTGTCTAACATATGTCAAACACCTGTCTACCACCTGTCTAACATATGTCAAACACCTGTCTACCACCTGTCTACCACCTGTCTACCACCTGTCTAACATATGTCTACCACCTGTCTACCACCTGTCTAACACCTATCCACCACCTGTCTACCACCTGTCTAACACCTATCCACCACCTGTCTACCACCTGTCTAACACCTGTCTAACACCTGTCTATGGACCAGCAGATGACTACACGGGCTGCGTGTGCGATGGGCTGGCACCGGCTCGCTGCGGCACTGAGGCGCAATGCACACGGCGGGCGCGCGCAGCGTCATCTCAGCGGAGCCTCAAGCCGCGATGACTCAACGAGCAAGGAGCTCCTGGCATGAGTTGTCTGGCATCTGAGAAGTTGCATTGAATAGTTTCGTACTCTCCGTCCGTCTCAGACTAATCGAGAGGCACAAACCGCCTATCGAGACGCAGCGAAAGCCGTTATGCCAACCGAGGTCCGTTCATAAAGCAAGGACGACAAAAGTGTCGCGGATTTGCCTTCATCCGCAGAGCGGCGAGTGTATTTTCGGAAGAATATTTGCGAACGTGTATCCGCGCGGACTGCCGTTGATATTTGGTGTTGTGTTTTCTCAATAGCTGGGAACGCGATGGCGAGCTGTGCGGTGTGCTTTGAGTTCGTCAGCCTTGGCACCGAAGTGCCGTGGCAGTTGGGAAGCCTGGAGCGACGTGAGAGTGGATGCACGGCACGCGGCCTCTTTACTAAATGAGGAGCTGACAAACGATGAGATGGGGGGTGGCGGGGACCGGGCGGTGACTTGTCAATTGAAGCTCATTATTAACACATTACCTCAAGGCAAATCACGTCGTAGCGCAGAGATTACGGTGCGCAAATTATATCCAATTAGCCACCTGGTTTGAAACATTACATGAAGTTTGTTTAATTAAAAAACAAATCTGCCCGGTGTTAGGCATATGTTAGCAATTGCCTGGGTCTTCTTCCTCTGCAACCGCCTTCCTCGTTACTGCGCCCGTGGCGAATGAATGACGGCGTGGAATTGTTCGCAAGATGGATTCTATATTTGTTTTACATGTTTTAGGCGTCACACCGATATAACTCAGCACATCTATCTCTCTCTCTGAGACCCACCTTAAAATAGAACCCGTATTAAGAATTGGGCACTGCGCCCAACACTCGACTTGGTAACCTTGGGCGGATTACGAGGGTTAAGAACTCGAATGGACATCTTCATCCGCGTGTCATCAGACTGCAACTTACGATTTGCCGCAGCCACAGCTTAAGGCGCAACCCTGCAATTGCCTGCTCACGCAACTGCTGGTGGAAGGTCTTCAACTACAAGGAGCTCTAGAACATATATTGTCGACTCAACCACGTTGACCAAGTGGTAAGATGTGGGAGTGCCCACGCTTTACTCCGCCAGGTATGCAACCTGCCGATAGATGGCCCAACACGTCACGGCAGCTCAAAAGGCGTGGCGAGGCCTTCATCCAGCAGTGTATTGATCATGACTGATGATAATGATGATGATGAATAGGCACCAGGGTTGTATTCTGTTTTAAATTAAAGCATCGGCTTCAGGCACGTGATGAACTCAAACTCTACGCTATTCAAGGTATTAGCCACGATTCGGGGGTCAATTAGGAATCGAATATTTTACAATAATTCGTACCAATTCGATTTCTATCGGATGTCTCGTTCGTTCCTTTGTTCCCGTCCCTTCGCCCCGTGCTCTCTGTGTCGCCCCTAATGCCTCCGTCCATCGCTTCAAAACATATCCGCGATTACTCCCCAACCTAAATATACAAGTTGAGAGGATAAATTGTCGATTCGTTATGATCACTTCACTTGCAATGGCAGATAAGTGCTCCAGTCACCCTCTATATGTTAAATGTCTCTGTAGCTTAGTGTTGTACTTTGTGCCGTGTTCCGTCTGAAGGCAAATCTTCCCCAGAAAATTTCCGTTGCAGGGAATTAGATTTGCTTGAACATTTTCTATTCCACCTCGTGCGATAGATGCAGTTGCTTCTGTACTGATTTTGTTTTGTAAATTTATTTGATCTTTTTTCGATTTGGTGAGCCACGTCACTTCTCGTAAAATGAGACTCTATCCTGGTCTCTTGGCTTCATCACAACCAACTCAACTGGTCCCGTTCGTTCCAGCAAGTCATTCATTCCGACCGTTACCCCAATGAAACCACGTTGGACGCAACTTGAACTGCAATGAATCCACCCGTGCATGCGTGATTGGGCGCGCGCATTGTGAGCATAAGCGTCAATTTTAATAATAAAACAAATCTCTGTCCTCAATCTTGATTTATTTTTATTTTGTTGTATTTTTTTTCTACCTACGTGACTTTACCGAAAGAACCAAAGAGTATAAATCTCCGTCCACTCTATGCAGTTGCTATTAAGAAGGGCCATATTGCCCAAAACGTCGCCTATTATATATATTTTTTACCCTGCAAGGATGCGTTATCAACTAATGTATTGTATTATTAATAGTATACGCGCTCTTGCACCACTGCCAACGCAGCAGCAGAACCGCCAAATTAATTCGTTTGATTTTGGAGCAGGAAGAATAATCATTACGCGTGCACATGTAGAAAACTGTGTGTGGGGGAGGGGGGGGGAGGTGGTATTGTTCCGTGCGTCTCGGCTACATGGGAGCGGCCGTCGCCCCTGCCAGGCCGTGTCGTTCCTCTCCGCTCTGTCGGGCTAGGCCAATCGGAATGCACCGTTCATGCGTGAACGGGGCTTGTGTTTTATTTTTTAAAGTCGCATTAAACGCGAGCCAGTCGCGACTCCGCACCGCGGCACCGCGAGTCCGAGGCTCTGCATTCGCGGCAGGATGGTCATTTAACAAATCCCGGGCTCTGAGAATTACATAAAATCAAAAATAAACCTTTCACGCGTGAATCAACGTTGTCGGAGTCTAAGCCAAAACGTGCAATCAGGGTGACATGTCGAGGACCAATTTAAAGTCTGCCAGGCGTCTAAAAAAAAAAAATAACCCTGCCCTGGCATTTATAGCGGAATTATTTATAGCGCCGCGATCACCTCGTGATACAGCCGCGCGCGCAGAGAGAGAGCTCGAGAGAACGAAACATCCCTCTTACTTGGCAACGGAACATGAACAAGAGGTCACAAAGTGTCATTTCCAATAACCTGGAACAGAGCGCTCATCACACACACACCCTGCGTGTGTTGTTGCTGTTGCTGTTACCGCTGCTGTTGTTGCCGCTGCTTTCTCACACCGATGGAAAGTAGCAGAATAACAAATAGTTGCTCGCCGCGTGCCCTCAGGGCATCTGCAGGCAGAACTGGTCTTGCTCCATGGGCTTCTTCACCCAGTCACCCAGGCCGGCTCTGCGCAGCCCGCGGAACAGCTGCTGCTTGGCCGCCTGGTAGTCCCGCGCAGCTTGCTTCGCCTCGGCGTAGGTGCCCGGTGGGGTGGCCTCCGGGTGCCCACGGCAGGCTGAAGGGGCCACGCGGACGCTGAGCTGCAGAGGAGGGGGGACACCGGTGTGAGTGCCGCGTCACCACAGCCGCAACGTGTAGTATTTTATTTCGTTGAAGCACGCGACGGCTCAAGAGGCGAGGAGAGTGTGCCTCATCTGTCGAGGGTGACGTGGGTCCCGCGCGTTGATGGAAGGGTGGGCGGGGTTGGGGGGGAGCGAACCCAGGACCGGTTTCACTCGCCAATGAGGTTGACCCGTGGCTAGGGATCGAACCGGCTGATGAAACTCCGCTGGGGTTACTGCATGTGAGTTCAGCCACTTTCGCGTCGTACGTAGACGACCGCGCTCATTCGTCGGAAATGAGTTTGTCAATCTAGATGATTTACAAGTGCACAGCCCCAGTGGCTTCCTAATATCGGAAGGAAGAGTGTTCCAGACGGCCGCAGAAGCGCATCTGAAAGACGGTCACTCCGCGCGATGCAGCGACCGTCTTTGTTCGATGGCCAACCAGAAGCGGCCGCTGCTGCGTGGATGACCTCAGTTCGCGTGATGGTTCAAGCTCCTTGACGAGATCGGAAAGGTATTGTGGGTCCATCTGTGGCCCTTAGTGTTGGGGCGTTGTTCTCGTGGGCTCTGAGAGAGAGACGCTGGCAGTGACGCCCACGCCACGCGTTGTGTTGGACTTCTTTCGCGCCGTACGTAGACAACCGCGTTAATCGGAGGTGCGCGGGTCAAGGACAAAATCGTGAGTGGCCCTTGTTGGGAAATGGCACACGTGGAGCGGCGCATGTGGCTCGAGGCAATGGTTGGTGAATCGCGACCAGATTCCACCGACAGGGAGTAGCTGCATACGAGTAATCGGTGGCGGCTTTGTCCGCTTTCTATCGGCTTTAGCGTCACACTAAAAGGGGGGGGGGGGCGAAGTACTTGATTCACTTATGAAGAGGGGGTGGTACATCTGTATGAGACCTGGAGGAGCCATGCAGAATCTCTGAAAACAATCAGCCTTAGCGCCGAATAACTCTGCGGAGCCCGCGTTTAAGTAAAGGAGGGGGGGGGGGGGAAACCAATATCTTAATTTTAGGATGTGCCTGTCGTAAGCAAAGGGACTCGACTCAATTTGCACCAAAAAGTCCAGCCATGTCCGTCGCTCTCTACGCAACCGAGCACCCATCGCACGACACCAGCGCAGTACATTTGCCGATATGATTTGTAACGTTCATGCCGACCAGTGCATCGATAGTTCAAATTGTAATGCGCAATGTTATTGGGGGACTACTGGGGGTGGTCCATCAAAGCACGATTCGTTGTAACGTCGCCTCTTTCCCCCATCCACCCCTTCACGCAGACCGTGCGTTCCCGTGCACATGTTGGGGAAGTTCTAGTTTTGTTTTTGTATTATCATTGTTACGAAGTTTTGTTTTGTTACCCAACAGGAAAGCCTCGCCGAATCGTAAAACTCTATTTTTTCAGAAGGGGCTTGCCAAGTTGTTGCTGTTGTTTTGTGTTTAGTTTGTTAGTCTTCCCCCCCCCCCCACCCGCACCTCCGATTATCACGCTTGGCTACGTACGGTGGTGCGAACGAAGTTCAACATGCACACACACACTTACACACACACACTTACACACACACTTACACACACACACTTACACGCACACACACTTACACACACACTTACACACGCTTACACACACACACTTACACACGCACACTTACACACACACACTTACACACGCTAACACACACACTTACACACACACACTTACACACACACTTACACACACACACACTTACACACACACTTACACACACACACTTACACACGCTAACACACACACTTACACACACACACTTACACACACACTTACACACACACACACACACTTACACACACACACTTACACACACACACACACTTACACACACACACTTACACACTTACACTTACACACACACTTACACACGCACGTTGCCGTTGTGTGTAATCACAATTGTGTAATGTGCATGTAATCTTTCAGCAGTGGGACGCTTGGCCCACGCCAGTGCTACACCTGGCGAACAGGTGTAGTCTACAACAGGTGTGTAGTCTACAACAGGTGTAGTCTACAACAGGTGTGTAGTCTACAACAGGTGTGTAGTCTACAACAGGTGTAGTCTACAGCAGGTGTGTAGTCTACAACAGGTGTAGTCTACAACAGGTGTGTAGTCTACAACAGGTGTAGTCTACAACAGGTGTGTAGTCTACAACAGGTGTGTAGTCTACAACAGGTGTGTAGTCTACAACAGGTGTAGTCTACAGCAGGTGTGTAGTCTACAACAGGTGTAGTCTACAACAGGTGTGTAGTCTACAACAGGTGTAGTCTACAACAGGTGTGTAGTCTACAACAGGTGTGTAGTCTACAACAGGTGTAGTCTACAACAGGTGTAGTCTACAACAGGTGTGTAGTCTACAACAGGTGTAGTCTACAACAGGTGTGTAGTCTACAACAGGTGTGTAGTCTACAACAGGTGTAGTTTACAACAGGTGTGTAGTCTACAACAGGTGTGTAGTCTACAACAGGTGTAGTCTACAACAGGTGTAGTCTACAACAGGTGTGTAGTCTACAACAGGTGTGTAGTTTACAACAGGTGTAGTTTACAACAGGTGTAGTCTACAACAGGTGTAGTTTACAACAGGTGTGTAGTCTACAACAGGTGTGTAGTCTACAACAGGTGTAGTCTACAACAGGTGTGTAGTCTACAACAGGTGTGTAGTCTACAACAGGTGTAGTCTACAACAGGTGTAGTTTACAACAGGTGTGTAGTCTACAACAGGTGTGTAGTCTACAACAGGTGTAGTTTACAACAGGTGTGTAGTCTACAACAGGTGTGTAGTCTACAACAGGTGTAGTCTACAACAGGTGTAGTCTACAACAGGTGTAGTCTACAACAGGTGTAGTCTACAACAGGTGTGTAGTCTACAACAGGTGTAGTCTACAACAGGTGTAGTTTACAACAGGTGTAGTCTACAACAGGTGTGTAGTTTACAACAGGTGTAGTCTACAACAGGTGTAGTTTACAACAGGTGTAGTCTACAACAGGTGTAGTTTACAACAGGTGTGAAGTCTACAACAGGTGTGTAGTCTACAACAGGTGTAGTCTACAACAGGTGTGTAGTCTACAACAGGTGTAGTCTACAACAGGTGTAGTTTACAACAGGTGTGTAGTCTACAACAGGTGTAGTCTACAACAGGTGTAGTCTAAGACAGGTGTGTAGTCTACAACAGGTGTAGTCTACAACAGGTGTAGTCTACAACAGGTGTGTAGTCTACAACAGGTGTAGTTTACAACAGGTGTGTAGTCTACAACAGGTGTGTAGTCTACAACAGGTGTAGTTTACAACAGGTGTGTAGTCTACAACAGGTGTGTAGTCTACAACATGTGTGTAGTCTACAACAGGTGTAGTCTACAACAGGTGTAGTCTACAACAGGTGTAGTCTACAACAGGTGTGTAGTCTACAACAGGTGTAGTTTACAACAGGTGTGTAGTCTACAACAGGAGTAGTTTACAACAGGTGTAGCTTACAACAGGTGTAGTTTACAACAGGTGTAGTCTACAACAGGTGTAGTTTACAACAGGTGTGTAGTCTACAACAGGTGTAGTCTACAACAGGTGTGTAGTCTACAACAGGTGTAGTTTACAACAGGTGTAGTTTACAACAGGTGTGTAGTCTACAACAGGTGTAGTCTACAACAGGTGTAGTCTACAACAGGTGTGTAGTCTACAACAGGTGTAGTCTACAACAGGTGTGTAGTCTACAACAGGTGTGTAGTCTACAACAGGTGTGTAGTCTACAACAGGTGTAGTCTACAGCAGGTGTGTAGTCTACAACAGGTGTAGTCTACAACAGGTGTGTAGTCTACAACAGGTGTAGTCTACAACAGGTGTGTAGTCTACAACAGGTGTGTAGTCTACAACAGGTGTGTAGTCTACAACAGGTGTAGTCTACAGCAGGTGTGTAGTCTACAACAGGTGTAGTCTACAACAGGTGTGTAGTCTACAACAGGTGTAGTCTACAACAGGTGTGTAGTCTACAACAGGTGTGTAGTCTACAACAGGTGTAGTCTACAACAGGTGTGTAGTCTACAACAGGTGTAGTCTACAACAGGTGTGTAGTCTACAACAGGTGTGTAGTCTACAACAGGTGTAGTTTACAACAGGTGTGTAGTCTACAACAGGTGTGTAGTCTACAACAGGTGTAGTCTACAACAGGTGTAGTCTACAACAGGTGTGTAGTCTACAACAGGTGTGTAGTTTACAACAGGTGTAGTTTACAACAGGTGTAGTCTACAACAGGTGTAGTCTACAACAGGTGTGTAGTCTACAACAGGTGTGTAGTCTACAACAGGTGTAGTTTACAACAGGTGTGTAGTCTACAACAGGTGTGTAGTCTACAACAGGTGTGTAGTCTACAACAGGTGTAGTCTACAACAGGTGTAGTTTACAACAGGTGTGTAGTCTACAACAGGTGTGTAGTCTACAACAGGTGTAGTTTACAACAGGTGTGTAGTCTACAACAGGTGTGTAGTCTACAACAGGTGTGTAGTCTACAACAGGTGTAGTCTACAACAGGTGTAGTCTACAACAGGTGTAGTCTACAACAGGTGTAGTCTACAACAGGTGTGTAGTTTACAACAGGTGTAGTCTACAACAGGTGTAGTTTACAACAGGTGTAGTCTACAACAGGTGTAGTTTACAACAGGTGTGAAGTCTACAACAGGTGTGTAGTCTACAACAGGTGTAGTCTACAACAGGTGTGTAGTCTACAACAGGTGTAGTCTACAACAGGTGTAGTTTACAACAGGTGTGTAGTCTACAACAGGTGTAGTCTACAACAGGTGTAGTCTAAGACAGGTGTGTAGTCTACAACAGGTGTAGTCTACAACAGGTGTAGTCTACAACAGGTGTGTAGTCTACAACAGGTGTGTAGTCTACAACAGGTGTGTAGTCTACAACAGGTGTAGTCTACAACAGGTGTAGTTTACAACAGGTGTGTAGTCT